GAGGAATTAAGATCATTTGGAACTAAAGATATTTCTATTGTTGTTGCAGGTAATAAAAGTGACATGAAAAATCAGATGTAGATTGATAAAAATGAAGTTGAAGAATATTGCAAAAAGATTGGAGCTAAACATTTCTTTACTTCAGCTAAATCAGGCATTGGTATTAATGAAATGTTCAAGTCTTTAGCAGAGAGTAAAACTTAAATTCAATAATAGGTATCTCAATCAAAGTCTAAGCATAAGAAAGTAAAGGTAAGAAAAAGAAAGGTTTATAAATTAAAGATGTAAAAGACACTAAGAAATAAAATTAGAAAAATGAAGGATGTTGTTGAAATTTTATGAAATATTTATTAAATATTTTAATTTATATGCTATTTGCTTAATATTATTCATTTATTAAATTAATTTTTGTTCTAGTTGCGATTATAATAATTGTTAAAAATTTCATACAAATTGTAGATATGATCTTATTCTTAATTCACTTATTAATTTTATTTTTGATTTGTTTTTTTTATTTGATTTTAAAAATTGTCATTATTCTATAGGTACTTTTGATAATTACTAATTTTATTTATGTTAGAAAATAAATACTCAATTAAATGAATGACTTAAATTTTATTTTATCCTTATTGATTTTTCATAAAATTATTAAATAAATCTACATTATTTTGTGGGAGCTAATTATTACGAATAAATTCTTGATATTCCACAAATAGATAAAATTAATAATGTAAATTTATAAATTTTTACAAATAATCTTACCTTTAAAAACCTTTTGCCCAATCTTTAATATATGTGTTGGTATAATTTTTAGGGAATTAATCTTGTATATTAAAATGTTTTCCATTTGTATTTATGATCTCTACATTGTTAAATCTTAAATAATTTATAAACTCTATTAATTTTTCTTTTAAAGAAATTCCTTTATTCAATTAATTAGTAAGGTTACATTATTCATCAGAATTAGATTGGCTTAATGATTGGTTCTATTCTTTTCCTTAAATTAATTAATTTGATTAGCCAATATTGATGGTATTACTTTAATTAATCTTTTGATTATCTTGATTTTTCATTTAATTATTTTAGTTTTAAAAAAGATCTTATAATTTCATTTTAGTATTTTCTTAATATTATCTAAGATATTATAAATGAAATACATTGCTTTAGATTCAATTTCTTATTAATTAGGAGTCTTATAGTATTAAGTATTTCTTATTTAATCAACTTAAGAATCTACAGTTTAAATTGATGAAATCATTTTTGAAAGCACATTTTCATTAAATTGCGGTTTATTTCATGAGTAGGATCATCTTTAAAATACTCAAGGACAGCATTTCTTTAGTATATTAAATTTATTATGTTTTGTAAGTCTTCATAAATATAATATTGAATTTCTGCTTATGCTTATGCTTATATTTCTGATTGGTTGTAATATTATGAAATTTATTATTATTATAAGTTTTCATAATATTAAGAACTATTTTGATATGATATGTTCATTTTATTATTGCATCTAATTTGATATTGATTCACTTTAAAATATGGGAGCAATAGAATAAAATTATATTCTATTGTGTTGTAATTTTCAATTAAAAATTAATTAAAGTAATTATAATATTATATATATAAACAGGGATAATAATATATGGTCCACTAAAGAATAATCAAATATATACATTTAAACTTTAGTTTTTCCATATAAGTTTCTGTTAACAACCCATGCAATAAATTTAATAAAACAATAATAATAAATATCTATCATTTTCATAAATTCTGAAAATCTAAAGTGTGAATTATTTTATTCTTTGATTACTTAAGATATAAAAAAAATTTTGATTTACATCATCAAAAGGATTTCAATATTATTATTAAGGATTTGTTTTTGAAATATTGAGATAAATATTAGGAAAGATTAAGAAGTAATCATAACAGCTATTATATTGAACTATCAAATACCAGAAAATTTATTCATAATTTTAAGTAAAATGCACTTGTCAAACTATATTAATTTTATGAAATTATTTGATTAGAAGCATGTCCTTATAAAGAATGACAATAGACATATAATTTATAATTTAAAATATGAAGCATAAACTATTTTATGGTATATTTAAATAATTAAAATAAACATATCTCATAGACATTCATAATGGGAATATTAACTTTAAAATACATATTTAATATTCCTTCAAAGACTGAGTAACAAATATAAAGTTTTTAATCAATTATGATTGAAAAATAATATAGATTAAGAATAACAGTGAGTTCTTTTATTAATGATACAATTAGGATATAAAATTATTTCAAAGAATAATGGATGGGTTTAAAGAGATAAAAATAGATAATTTTAGTTCAATCAACTGTTGGTTATCTGAATATTATGAATTATCATAAAAAGATATTTAACAATATAAAATAAATGTTGAACCTAAGATATATTTTTTTTAAGAGATAAGAATACTAAATGATTAAAAGTATATAATGTAAATGTGTCCTACAGTGATATGATGCCTTTACCTTAAACTAACCAATATAATTAATAAACTCTCAAAACTCTCAATTTAATTAAATAACAATTTAATCTATAATCAGAGGTCATTCCTTTTATCAAATTTATTATTTAAAACTTATTCTATATTAACAGTTACATTAATTATCTTTATATGAGTATAATTAGTAATTATATTTCTGTTCTAAATTTTGAGAAGCTTAGCATCCTTTTATTTTCAAAGGAGTCTGATCAAAAAGAAGAAACATTGATGATCAACCATGAATAAAGATTAAGTCTATATGTTATTATCAGCTCCATTGATTCTAAAAAATATTCAAATAAATCTTTGTAAATTTCTAATGACTTGTATTTTTATACAAAACAAAGATAGGTACTTATAAGCATAAATGGCAATCCAACAAACATCTAAATCGAGGGTATCCTTATTTATCTAAAATATGAATGGCATCAATAAGAAAATAGGGCTACTACTTACTTAGCATCTAAAGCAATAAATTTTGTAAAAAATATTATTTCCCATTAAAAATGATATTAAGCTAAGGATCTTTAAACAAATTTTTCTCTTCGATATATATATATTCTAATCATTAAGCTACCAATAAATCATTCATAAATCTACAGATTACTTTTCATTTTAATTTAGCATAAGACTCAATAAATCATAAATATAGAAATCTCTAATAAAATCCATTAATTTATAAATAATCTAAAAATGGAATAATACTTATTAAATTAGTTGATTCAAAAAAAAGTATAGATTTTCAGGATATATGAAAATATTTAATTAGTGCAAGATGCATTTTGAAACTATGGGACATATCAAATCTTCCAGAAATCAAATTATGTGCTGCTACAGACTCTTTGAATTAAAATTATGTATAAAGAATCTGCTGCCTACATCAAACATAAGGTATTTTATTTTGTTGTTCTTCAGAAAGTTAAGTGATTTAATTTGATGAGTTTAAATATTTAGGAGTATTAGAGAGTTCGAATTAATCAAATGTTAATTTTCAGCTGATAGTCGGTTTTTAGTTGGTGGAATAGATAAAAAAGTTGTTATATGGAATAGTGATAAAAACTATAAAATTGTATTCAGTTTTCCATTACCTGATATCATTAAGTCAGTCACTTATTGTTAAGATTAAGAAAGACTTGTTGTAACTATTCAATCAGGGATATATATTTTGAATATCAAATCAAGCAATATACTTAAAATACTTCCAAATTTGAATTCTGCATTTTATGCCTAAATGTCTTAAAATGATAAATATCTATAGACACAATAAAATTAATCTGTTAAAATTTGGAGAATTGATAGTGATAATCAATTCACTTTAATTGATTATTACAGTATGACATAAAAAGAACAAATTGTTTTTTCATAGGATGGATAATATTTAGCAAAACTAAAAGATGATTATTCTAAGAAATCTATAATAGTTTATCCTGTAAATTTGATTAGTAAACGACGACTTATCCTTACTAATGATTAAAGTACAGTAATGAGGACAATAATAAGGATATCAAATAACTCACAATATTTTTTAGAAGAGAATTATAAACTTTCTAAATTATATAATTTTGAATCAGATTTTACTATTGATGAATTCTCTAATTTTGGTCATTCTGGAAGAC